AAGTCAGGATTTGATCAGACTTGAGTATGATATCAAGCACTGGAAATACGACCCTAATGGCAGGGACTTGAGTATGATTTTCAGTGCTCACTGCAATACTCAAGTCCTGACTTAAGTATTGAGTAGAGTTCTGGAATACGACCCTCTAATTGGAATGAAAAAATAAAAATTGTAAATGATGGAAAGGCATAGCACTAGTTTAGAATTCCACACTAGAAAATAAAAGACAAAACAAATATATCTAGGTGAAATCTTAAGTTTGTGATAGGATGTGGAATTTTGACATTATGTATTAAAGCCTATAAGCAGATAATACAAATAACGCTTGTTATATAAATTGCTCATCCAATTTCACCAGGCATTTTTTTTTTTTTTTTTTTTTTTTTTTTTTATATACTAAGCTCGACAGATGACTCCGTCCCACCTGATGTTAAATGAAACGGAGTCCAGACGCAAGGACAACTGGTGCAGCGTGAAAACAACGCATCATCAGTCGCCCTCACCCTGCCGGCCTACAAGGTGCTTCTTCACGCCTCGCTTGAAGGACCCCAAGTCATAGGAAGGAGGAAATACGTGTGCTGGTAGATTGTTCCATCTTTTGGAAGTGCGACAAAGAAACGAGTCACCAAATTTCTTTGTGCGCGATGGAATGCTAGAGACAGTATAGCGGTGACTCCGGAGAGCAGCACGCGTGCTCCTATGGAGGAAGGGAGAAGGTGGGATAAGGTCAAAGAGTTCTTCAGAGCACTCGACGTGGTATAAACGGTAGAAAGCGCTGAGTGACGCAATATCTCTACGCAATTGCAGAGGTTCGAGAGTATTAGTGACCTCTGCATTGCCGATAATGCGTATAGCGCGCCGCTGCAATCTGTCCAAGGCATCGAGAAGGTACTTAGCGGAACCGTCCCAGAGGTGCGAACAATACTCCACGCACGATCGTACTTGTGTCTTATACAAGAGACACAACTGATCCGGCGCGAAGAAGCGTCGCACTCTGTTCAGGACACCGAGTTTACGTGAAGCTGTTTTTATCACGGCTTCAATGTAGTCCCTCTGGTTCAGATCGCAGCGAATCTCCGTACCGAGCATGCTAATGCTGCTCTGTAGGCTAAGTGGTGTGCCCTGAAGAGAAGGAAGGGGAAGGAATGGTGTCTTTTTTGCCGTGAACGCGCACACCTGTGTTTTCTTGGCATTGAACTCAACAAGATTATTGGAGCCCCATTGAGATATGAGGTTCAACACCCGATTGAGCTCAATGACAAGATTCACTCGCTTCTCTTCAGTCTCGACCCGCCCAGCCGCAGGGTGACCATTATACCCTCCGTGCACTGTACTATCATCTGCATAGCAATGAATATTTCCAAGTGGAAGCATATCATTGATATGCAGAAGGAACAGCGTGGGGGATAGAACGGACCCCTGAGGGACACCAGCGTTCACTGACATGAATTCCGAAGCGCATCCGTCTGACAGCACTCGGATTCTGCGCTCATGCAGGAAGCCAGCGACCCAGTTGCAGAACTGGGCAGGCAGGCCGTATGACGGGAGTTTGGAGAGAAGAGCTTTGTGCCAGACCCGATCAAAAGCCTTGGCTATGTCAAGGCTAACAGCCATCGACTCGCCACGCTTATCAATAGCCACACCCCAGAGATGTGTAATAAACGCTAAAAGATCACCCGTTGACCGTTTCGGCCGAAACCCGTATTGACGATCGTGAATTAAGGAGTGTTCTTCTAGGTAGTGGATTAGCTGTTTATTTAAAATCCGTTCCATCACTTTACACAAAACTGAAGTTACGGCTATTGGGCGGTAATTATTCGGATCTGATCGATCTCCTTTTTTGGGGACCGGTTGCACATTAGCCTTTCTCCAAGATTCCGGCACACAACCTGAAGAGAGCGAGAGGCGGTAAAGGCGCGTTAACACGGGGGACAACTCCGCTGCACACATTTTCAGAACGATTGGAGGAATGCCATCAGGACCATTAGCTTTCCGGACATCGATTGACTGCAACTCTGCACGGACATCACACTGCCTGATTTTAAGATCGGGCATTGTGTGGCCACAGTGAGGAATTATAGGTGGCTGTGCATTGCAGTCGTCGATTCGGGAGTTAGCCGCAAAGAGTTTAGCCAGGAGATCGACCTTCTCCTGCGGCTTGTGGGCTAAAGTTCCGTCAGGACATCGTAATGGTGGCAGCGAGGGTTGGCAGAAGTTGGATTGCACGGCTTTGGCCAGACGCCAGTAGCTACGGCTGCCCGTAGGATGCGTCAGTAGTTCTTGGCCGACCCGAGCAACGCGCTGGGCATCCGCTCTAATGTAAGCCCTTTTGCAGGACTTGGTGGCATTATTGTAGGCTGCTTTCAGCGAGTGGGTTTCGGGATCTCCAAGTGCTATACCTTTGATCCAAGCGCGATATGCCTCTTGCCTTTTATCAGCAGCACTGGCACACTCGCGGTTGAACCATCGGTTGCGTCTGCCTTTGCCGATGAGATAGGAATTTGGAATGTAGTATTCCATCCCTAAAACTATCTCATCAGCAACTGCAGCCGCACTAGCTGTTGGGTCCTTCCCACTGAAGCAGCGCTGCCCCCAAGGAACGGATGCGAAATAATCCCGCATACCATCCCAATCTGCCGACGAGTGGTGCCAAATCTGGCGTTTCGATACCGCGGAAGGCGGTAGCGGGTCCAGAGGCACTTTACTGGATACCAAGCAGTGATCAGAAGATCCTAAAGGAGCTCGAACCTCCACTCGGTAACCAGCTGGACGATTCGTCAGCAGAAGGTCCAACAAAGAGGGCGCGTGACCGACTATATCTGGGATCCTGGTGGGCTGGTTCACCAGTTGAGTCAGGTCGTGCGTGAGGGCGAATGCATGGGCAATTCTACCAGCATGGTCAGTTTTGGAGGAACTTAACCACAACTCGTGGTGAGCATTGAAGTCCCCCAAAAACACCAATTCCGCCAATGGAAATCGCTCCTGCGCATCATCTGCTACCCGACTAAGATGGTCCATAAGTCGAGTTGTCTCCATGTCGCCATTATGGGATCGGTAGACGCAAACATAGACACGGCTATGAGAGCCCAAGTCGACGTGTACCACAAGGAGGGAAAAGGAAGGGTCCTCCAGACAGCGCAGACGCCGACAACAAACATCCGCCCGAACGAACAAGCAAACTCCGGCTTTGGCTTTGAAGGATTCTTCAAGCACAAAGCCCGGATAGTGCAAGTAGCCTGTGTCGGCCGGGCAGATTATTTGCGTCTCCGTCAAAAACATCATCATTCGATAGAAATACGAAACTAAATTACTCAACATTTTTTTCAAGGCATTCCAATATAACATCTCTTGCGCACAATGTAAACTTTACAAAAATACAAGTGCTAAGGATTAAACAATGATTAAATCACAAATCATCGAATCGAGCAGATTTAAACGTGTCGTATTGTGAAGGCTGTTAGACCGTCGTTAGCAAGCATGACTGGACAATGTACATTTTGTCATCCATTATCCTCGAAGAAGTTGAGTGCCTTCAGGTCGTAATTTGTTTTTAAATAAACCCTTCACGTCATACTGTGTTTTTAGTTTTTGTATTTGTCTCCGTTGGTTTTATATTGTTTTTTTTTATTGGAAGATTTAATAACATGACATAACTTTTAAGTGGATGTAGGGTAACAAAGACAAAAAGTTGTAATGTTTGATTGTAAAAAATATTTTACTGTTCAACATACTATAGCTGTAGGTACATAAAGGTACCTACAGCTTCGTCCGACCGACACGTAGAGGTTTAGAAAATCAATATATCTAGTAACGTCATGGAATATTAGCAGAGAATAAAGAATAAGCAGACCATAAGTCAAGAGGACTGCTAGACTCCATACAAATCGTGTTTGGCATTGTGGGTTACAAACTAAATTATAAATTAACGCTTTTTAATATGGATAGATGACGCTAATCCTAAACAAAATAAAAGAATAGCCGGCAGTATCCATAAAAATATGTGAAATAAGCGCCATGTACTTCATTTGTTTGTTATCACTAGATGTTAGTAGCAATTAATTATTGCTGATATTTATCATGATGTGAAAGCAATCTAATATCAATAAATAAATTAAAATATCCGAACATATTATCAGAAGCCATGACGCTTAATTCATGAACTTTAATTAAAATAGGACTTGGCTTAAAGATCTTCAAAGCAGGCCATAAACCTTATTAAAAAAATATATGCCATGACGTCACGTGACATTGACAGCCGCGGCGCCTGGCGCACACGCAATGTACTCGAGTGTTGCCAGGCGTCACAAAAGTTCTCGTAAATGCATATTTTAGTATTTTTTTAATTTAAATTTAAATTATTATTATTATGGAATATTGGCGCTAATTAAAAAGTATCAAACCTGTGTTGCTTTAGTTTTAAATCCTGTATTATTAAATTTAGGATCCAAAATTTAGTACAATTAATAAATAATCACTGGTTCACAGATTTTTCAAATACAAACGAATGACAAGGTCAAGAGCAACTCAAGCTTGACAGTTAAAATAAATTTAACTCTATGCCGCTTGTAATAATAACTAGGAAAAAAAATGTTTTCTTAAATATAGTACAAATAAGATGTGATTTATAATGAAGAATAGTAATTGTTTCTTATGAAAAATGATGACAGACATAATATTAATATGACGAATAAAAATAAACTAGCAGTTCTTGATAGTCATCTTTACAGTCAGAAATTCATTTAAGGGATGTATACTACGCTACGATGTAATAGGCTTCTGTAATAAGATTCCGGTTGATAGTTAAAATTCACACCTCTCATTCTTCTCAGGGGAATCTACCTAACGAGTGAGCAGAGCAGATTTTAACCAATGTGACGATTTCAAGTATAATTTTCTTACATATGAAATACAGTTTATTTTAACTGACTTTTCCATTATCGTATACGAATTTTACAGGTTTGATGGGAAAATCCGGTTGTACCCGTCTGGCAACTCTGGTACGCACCCGCCACTACAGTGACATCCGTTTACTTCGAAAACTTTGATAAAAATATTGATAAGAATGCGTCCAAGATCACACCACAGATGACTTTAGAGTTTTATCATTTACTTCGTGCGTTTTGTATCGGTTCACACGGATATTATTAAATCTCATGTAGGATAAAGACTTAATATGGGAGCTAGAAGTAAAAAAGTGCTACAACTTGTATCTGGATGGGAAGCAGTGGAATTAGTATTAAAATGTTTAGTTTTTGGTATCTGGCAGCTCGTGCAAATCTTTGTGAAACGGTTGTGGAAAGGACATAGAAGAAAATCGTCTAAAAGTTGCCCTCCAGTAGAGCTTACTGTTGTTTCATCGATAGGTACTCATTGCTACATCAAAATTATGGTAAGTTCCATACAAAATATTGGAATATTTGCTTGCTTATAATACTATTGAGTTTTGTGAACATTATATCTTGCCAAAGTACTGTGTACACTTACCCACATTTTTATGAAATAAATGTCACATAAGTTTTGTATGGAATTTTTTTTTTAATATTTACTGATACCAACAATGAACTCGTAATTTGTCGATTTTAATTACAAACTATATATCTAACTTAAATGAAATTCAAAATTAAGAAATTAATACAAACAGTAATAAACATATATATTTTATAATCTATGATGATTAACTTGTAGTAATATCATGAATATATGTTTTAAAATGATTCTGGATAAAGTTGCAATTTTTAAGGTAGCATAGTGTTAATTGCCAGTGTACTGTGGATGAGCAATACAACATTTAAAAAAAATAAACAAGAAGCGTTTCCTATATCATAATTTTTCTTAATAATACCCTTTTTCCAGGGAGTAAAATACCACTATGTAGAAACCGGCCCAAAATCTGGGCAAACAATTCTAATCCTCGGTGATGCACCGGACAATAGTAATTTATGGAGCCCTACCTGGACCAACGTAGTCCGTAAGCTGTCAGAAGCAGGCTACCACATAATAACGCTAGATCTTAGAGGAACAGGAGGAAGTGAAGGTGGAGGCAGAAGTGATTTATCCCCCCCGAGAGCAATTGAGGAATTGTCCGGTTTAATGGAAGCTCTCGGTGTGTCAGAGAATAATCCTGCGGTTGTTATTGGCTTTGGAATTGGTGGCATGCTGAGTTGGTAAGTTACTAACTTAACTTTAAGAGCCACCATATTGCAAAGAATTGTGGTATCTAAAACACATTGCTGTATTAAAAAACAATGTATTAAAAATAAATTATTATTACAATCTCCATGGCCCAACAGTTAATACAGCAGGACCAAGATGATATGTACAGTGAATTTCCTAACTTGATACCTCATATGTGATATGGATATGAGAATCCGTGATTCCTATACTACTATTAGTTCTTGCATTATTGTATGATATTATTACAAACCGTTGCACTACTCAAGTCATCAATTGTGGGTTGGGTTGCATAAGCTTTGCCATTTAAGTTGTTAAAAAAACCCCACCTTTGTACTGCAATTTGTTTATCAAGTAAGTTCTTTTGACAACCTTAGGTAACCCACTAAGCTGCGGGCTCTAGACGAATAAATAAATAAACTGTTCTGAATTCTGGGTAGCGCCCTGAAACGATTTGTGCTCTGCGAATTGTATACTGGGTCTTTGTTCTGATTGTACTTGGTACTTGGTGCAACGGGCTGGTATCCGCATGTCAACGACAAAGCGCCTATTTTGCGTGTGGTTGGTACTGGTACTCGTTGTTCTGATTGTATTCTGTATGCTTTTTTTTTTTCAGATCTATATATTATATATATTTGTTTTTTCAAACAAGCCAACATTTTGGGTCCTTTACAGGTCCCATGGTCATGACTGACTGAGACGGGATTTACCATGTGCTGTAGAGTTACATGTAATATTAATGTAAATGATTCTATTTTTCACTTTAGTAAGCTTACAGCCAACAATATAAACTTTAATAGAAGGACAAAGAACTTCAAAATTATTTCAGATCTTAGTGTTCCGGGCAGAACCCTAGAGTTAAATTCAGTATTCTGGTACTCCAAGTACATCAGATTCCATAGTTCGAGACCAAGTAATCATTCTAGTACACTGCACATTATAATTATTATTAAGTAGTATTAAAATGTAATGAATCAATTGAAAAAAAGAAAATAATTGATTTAATTAAACTGACTGGTATAATTGTTGTTGATTTGTTGATAATAAGGTCAGTCAGAGAAGCAATGAAAGCTATGAACTTGCGATTAACTGTATCTTGCATCAATTAAATATTGCAAATGTTTACTGTCTGTAGGTTTTAAATGTGAATGAAATGTATTCTTTTAGTGAATTAAAAGATATTGAGATAAGAAACTAGAGTTCAAAATATCGATGACCCCACTGGATACATTTTTTCGGGTTCTTTATTGGTCATAACTATTATTACAAGAATACAAGATATTTATTCGCTGAAAACTGTAGTTAACATTGCAGGTCTTATATTATATACTAGTAACTGACAAATTATGCAATTCCATCTTAAATTATCTACAATTTAATTCGTTAACAGCATCTGATAATTAACTAAATAATTTGGGTGCTAATATGGACATCATTCTACTGTAAAATTCCAAGTTGTTTGGGCCGTAATTCTTGTGTTTCTTGGACATCTAGTTTTGCTATATTAAAGTTGCTTAGATTTTGTTTCACATAAAGTTATATTATTATTATCTATCTACATTTGATTCTCGCGTCTCCTTTAATTTTGAATTTTTAAATGAGACAGGCACGGACTGGGGTCAGGGACTCAGGTTCAAAAACCGCGAACAATACGTGCCGTATCCCACACGCAAAATAGGCGATTGGAGGTCGAGTTGCGGACACCAGCCCTTCGTAACATACCATTACTATTATTAGGGTGGCTTCATTTGGGACGGGTATTTTGATCTCAATCATTATCACTATATAATCAGACACCCAGAAAGTATTTGAAATGGCAGTTACAAAATACACTTTTAGTTAGTATAATTGCAATACAGATGTACAAAATACCTACGCTTTTTTATATCGAGTTCAGAGTTTTCTCGATTGCTATACTTTTAAAAAGAAACTCTATCTTAGTTGTTTTTTTTTTTAAACAAACAAACATTTCGGGCCCTTTACAAGTCCCATGGTCATCGTTCATGCTAGCCCTTGTCTTAGCTACGACGAAAATGTCGGCAGTTAGTGACGATATGGAACTAAGATTCTTAACCCGGTCATGGGCGGTAACGGCTTACGGAGTACCCCATTTCGCTATATGAATCTCAAAAAACCAATTACGTACTTTTCTGTAGAGAAGTACGTTGTTACGTAATAACAAAATTCTATTATTTACAAACATACATTTGTGGACGTTACATTAAGGCCCACTAAAGGTTCGGGACGGGATCCTACGGCATCCCAACATGCAAGCGCACCCTGATGGCGCAACTTTGTAGCGGCATCGCGTGCCGAAACATCTTTAGGCATACCGAAGCAATAGAGGGCTTTACACAGACACTCTTTCGCGCGTGATACGGCAATCGTGCGTGATTAACGCGCGTATAAAGATGATACAAGGAAAAGGGAAAGACTGCGCGATTGCACTCACCAAAGTTGCCTTTTACAAGGACGCTCTTCCCGCGCGCTAAAAACCGATAGCTTAAAAAACTTCAAACAGGTAAACGATAGCGCGTGCAGGCTTTCCCGCGCGTAATCCTGCAGGTTCCGGATAGAGTGACTGTCTAAAGGGGGCTATTCTGTTGCGACATCGTGCTCGCGCCTGCCATATGTATATATACAGGGTGTAAATTTGAGACGGGGCAGCAAGGCCAGCCACCTTCATCGTTGTAGTTACAGGAAAACGGTTCTAGAAGACTATCCATGAATTTTTAAGATATTTTGATTGGATACCATACATTTAGTAGGGACATACTTAGTAATCAGTTATTCTAGGTAGTTAAGGAAACTAACAAATTGACAACGTGTTATGTATTTCAAAATGCAGGGCCAAAATGCTGGAGCATGCGCCGCTCACTACCGCTTTGCGTCTTTTAAATGACATTTCTAAAAATATTGATATTTTTTGTTGTTCGATGTCGAAATTCGCAGACGTAGCCCTTGACACTATACGTAAGAAATAGTTATAAGAAATTGAAATGTTTAAATTATTATTTTTATTATAATGTTTATGAATGAAAGCTATTTAGTAATTTATTAACGAATTTATTTTAAAAATTAAGTGATTTGACATTATCGAATTAGATTTATATCTGTAATGATAAATGTATTTGCACAATGTAACATGAATAAATGAAATGAAATGAAAAATAAAAACAATAACAAAAAGCAAAATAACATAAAAATGTATGATAGTAAGTGCTCGAATTTATTGCCACCTTGGCGGATGCATCGATTCGCTCTCTTCCGCAAAGAGCAAATTAGCGGCTGAAATTTTACTCGGATGGATTCCTTTGAAAATTGCTGCAAGTGCGTCTTTCAATTCTTGAACACTGTTGTATTTTTTTTATAAATTTCATTTAACTAATACATAATACGTTGTCAATTGTTGGTTTCCTTAACTACCTAGAATAACTGATTACTAAATATGTCCCTACAAAATGTATGGTAAAAAGTTTCTTGCGATTTCTGACATTTCGAGTACTCTTACTACAGTTGGTCCCATAGAGACTATTAATCCTTAACAGAGACCGGATCGAATGGCATAAAAAAAAGTTTTGTAAAAATTACCCTTTCTCTTGCTGACTGTACCAAAATATTTTCAAAATTCATGGATAGTCTTCTAGAACCGTTTTCCTGTAACTAAAATGATTATGGTGGCTGGCCTTGCGGCCCCGTCTCAAATTTACGTCCTGTATATACATATATCATTAAAATTAAAAAAATTCGGTAACGTTTTTCATGCAAAACTCTATAACCATAAAAAAAAATTACGTGCTTTTTTGAGCCTGAAGCGTTATGTTTAGTACACATTTTAATGTACATTGGGCGTTTAGAGCTTTTCATAATGTAGTTTGCTGGGTGTAAGGAGGATATAACGCACCCTTAGTAATATAAGGGCACAATCCAAAAAAAGTAGATTTTTGGGAAATTTGGGAATTGATAGGGACTTAAATAATAAATGGGATCAAACTTATATAGCTCCATATTTCTGTTATATTTTTTGTACTATATAGGTCTAACATGAAAGTGTTTTTTTAACTTGCTTGAAACTTATGGAATTTATTTATATTATTTTTTTTTTATTGCTATTTATAATACATTTATCAAAGAACAAATCTGCCAAATTTCATATTTATAACTTAAATAATAAGCATATTATTTGAAAAAATAGGTGTAATGTAGGAATCCAGAATCTTAATACGCGATTTCCCAAAAATCTACTTTTTTTGGATTGTGCCCTTATATTACTAAGGGTGCGATAAGCTCTACGACATCGGCACCCAGGAATGGATTAAAGTAGTCATTTTATTTTAAACAAACGTTTGAGACACTTAGCAAACGTAATCGATATTTCAAGGAAATAATATTCCTAACCGGGTTCATAGTCCATATTGTCATTGTCACAAAGTAATATCATGAGATCAGTAAACAAACATTGAACTGATAATTACGAATTGTGATATCCAAAGTACAACAACAATTTATTACATTGCAGAACCGTCTGGCGTGGAACAATTCTTTTTTATTGCTTGCTCATTAAATATATTGACTCAATAGACAATGTATCGAAATGTTCTCTTTAACCGTTGTGTTGTAAATGCACTTCAGTACAGTAACCTTTTTGCTAAGCTTCTTCTTATCATGTTGATACTGTTTTCATTTTAGAACTATATTGTCTTTTTTTATAACATCAAGTGACGGTACGGACAAGTCGTGCGCCTGATGGTAACCTACACGCCTGTCCATAACAGTTGCAGTGCCACTCAGAGCTTTAAATCGCAAAGATCTGAGGGGCGCGGACACTGCGCCCGTCACCCTGAGACATAAGTTGACAAGTTCCATGAGATGGCACAAGAAATTAGTAAGGTCTTGGCGGCAGAAATAAATGAAATATGAAAATGAAAAATAGTTTACTTCCACCGTCACAAACTACAAAACTCTTATTACATGTATTAATAAGTACTAGTTGTATCAGCTAATTATAGGTGTGAGAAAGCTGGAATCTAGACTAGGTCGAAACCTGTGCGATAGCTTCCAAAATGACAGTACTTCCCTGGAAGAACTTTGAATAGTAATAATGCCATCTTGACCGCGTAGAGATCTTCCCCCATATAGGTATTAGGGCACAAGGAGCACATTAGTAAGTGCTGCATGGACTGTGTTGGGGCAACGCAGTCACATTGGGTTAGCTAGCATACCTAAAACCGCATTTAAGTCGATTTAAAAGTTTCCACACGGACCACCGCAGATCGCAGGATGGTGGTTGCTCTAGAGGGATGATGAAACCAGGTGGTGGGGGTTTTTTGTTTCCTCACTGCACACTTAGTGATAGTAGTCGAATGGTCACTCGTAGCCTTCTTGCCGAGCAATAATGAACCTTAAAGTAAATGCTTGTTAGTTTAAAACTTGTAAAAACTTGAAGTGTTGATTTGTTTCTATTTCTTTATTGCATAAGTACTTCCTATGAATCGAAAATCTATGGGCAGTTGAGATTTATAAAACAATCTTTTATTGATTTTGAAAGCATGTTTCTCTTTACAAAAACGAACTTTGCCCAATTTTAAGCAAGAAACTGCGTAAACTCACAGTAGCCATAGAGCTCATTGTGAAAGAGTTCGTCCTGGGAAGTACTGCCACCTTATCTATTTTCGTCGCCATGGAGTAATGCCGGTTTTGAAGGCTGTGGGTGCTGGTGAAATTACAGGCACATGGGACTTATCAACTTATGTCTCAGCGTGACGGGCGTAGTGGCAATGGCCCTCAGATCTTTGCGATTTAATGCTCTGAGTGGCACTGCAACGCACACACACTGTTAACTGACACACTGCTAAACACAGGTCTCATCTCACAAATGGGAGGGCTTGGGCTGTGATTCCCACGCGGGCCCAATGGTAACTTCCCACATTGTCATCAAATTGCTTTGCAGATTTCTGCAGGCTTGTCCGCGATGTTTTCCTTTATCGAAACCTCATGGCAAAGCACATATATTCCGAAAAACTCAAACCGAACCAGGATTTGATCCTCTACTTGAGAGTAGGTAGAAAAAACCATTACGCTACCACGGCACGGCTGTAAAATGTACCTACTTAGGAAATTTGCTAATAAGTTTAACTGCCTCTGTGGCCGAACGGCTACCATGCCGGACTGCCACGCAGAGGTCCCAGGTTCGATTCCCGGGCCGGGAGAAATATTTGTATGGCCTACATTTATTTCTCTCGTGAGTTTGGGTGTAATTTGTGGTTGTCTATGTGTGTCCATGGCACCCGTTACCCAGGGTTTCCCTAGTGCGGGGCTATGTTGAGTGTGTGCGTTATTATTATTATTATAAGTAATGTGCAAGGCAACAGCAAAACAATCATAGATTAGCCAAATATGTCATGAAATGACGCTAAAAAACGGTAAAGATTTGTAGAGACTGCTTGAGTTTGTATTAATTAAATATTTTTTACATATGAAAATAGCATCCAAATATTAAATAATTATGTAGTTTAATATCATTTAAAGTAATATGTAGAAAAAAATGCATTGTGGGTTATACCGCTTTTGCGCTGAGTTTTAATTTACACTAGCCCTTCTTTTGTTACCTACTGCAGTAGTGTAGTACTGACTTATTACCATTTGGAGCGATGTGTTTAAATATTTTTATTTCTTACGAAAGTAAAATCTAATGAATTATTAAGGGTCGTATTCCAGAACTCTATTCAATGCTCAAGTCAGGATTTGAGCAGACTTGATTATGATTTCAAGCACTGGAAATACGACCCTAATGGCAAGGACTTGAGTATGATTTCTAGTGCTTTGAACCATACTCAAGTCCTGACTCGAGCATTGAGTAGAGTTCTAGAATACGCCCCTTAGAGTCGATATTACCTCAGCACGAATTGAAATTTTTGGCAGGGCCACTGGCTTCATTTCAGAATTTATTTTTTTATTCTATTTTTTTTATCCATCGTCAATATTTTAAGGAATCGCGTTTTCACACAGTAATCAGTGTAATCCTCAATTTTACTATATAAGCATTGACTTACAATTATATGGACGTCGGGTCCGCGCTAAAAAGTGTCCGAACTTATAGGGCGTTAAAATCGTATACAGAGCATCATTCACGCTCTAGTCTTCGTTTGTTCGACTGACAGCGAAGCAAGCAAAATTAGACAGTACTGCGATGACATTACAATTTAAATTCAACGTTTTAGCTTTTTTTCATATTCCTTGACATGTCACTACGTTTAAATAGGTTGACTTGGGACATTTTTTTCGTGGTTTCTGTATTAGACCCGTCGTCCATTTATTTGTAAGTCAATGTATATAAGTATGTTTTTCAAAGTGAATTCAACACTCACTGTAAGCGGAATCAAACAAGCAATTCGGGGTAGTATAGGCTCTTAAGCCATGAAACCAAAGTTCTTGTTTATGATGTTACCTAGTAATATAGTTTTTTTAAATTTCATAGTCCCGCACTAGGAGAACCCTGTGTCGCGGGTGCCATGGACACACACATAGACGACAATAAACTACACCCAAACTCACGAAATAAATAAATGTAGGCCACATATTTCTCCCGGCCCCCGAAATCGACCCCGGGACCTCTGCGTGGCAGACCAGCATGGTAACCGTTCGGCCACGGAAGCATTTCATGGACGTAGGACTACGAGGTTGTTAGTATTGTACAAGTAACCCTGTACAGGTGTGCATGGTCATTCGTCGATCTCATCGTCACTTTCCATCAGGTGGGATAGTGGTCAAATGGTGGTAATTAACATAAAAAAATATAGGGAGTGAACATCGGAAAATCTTGGAAAAAAACCAATGCCTCTGAACGCTGTTGTCGTATATATAAGTTATCGTATTAATGTCTGATGTATTTACGACCAATTAAATACGAAAATGTATTAGTGTGTCTTAAGGCAATGTCATTGACAGCGTTGTTTATTCATTAAATCCATATGAGGATCTTGTTTAGGTTTCAAAAACTGATTAATCGTCCGTCTACCTTTGTTTTATATGAATATAACTGATAAAACAAGTTTGACACAAACTACAGGTATATATTTAAAATAAGTAGTGAACCTAAAATTCGTTGCCCAAAAAATTGGAAATGAAACTATTTATATCGGACCTAAAGTTACATAGTTATGGTCCCATAGTTAGCCGTGACCATGTGATTTTTTTTTCTTTATTTATTTCGGAACTTTTATGCGATGCATATGCCAATTCCATCGTACCCTAAACTATAGCTTACATGTCTGGACCGAGCCGCTTCAACAAATAGTAATGGTCTTTTTGTCTGTTTCGTGTGGGAATTGCATAATATACAATTTATAACACCTAAGGATGTTCGGTTTATCTGCAGGTCTCTCATCAACGCCGCCCTCTGTTGTTCGCACCGGACACATTTCAGTAACAAATGATATGCATCTTCTACTACTCCACATAACTCGCAATTAGGAGAATTATTCTTTTTTTTTTTCATTATGAAAGCAAAACTGTTCATTGGAACGTGTCCGGTTCTCATCCTTAGTGCGATGACAACTATTTTTCTACCATAGTCGCACTCTGCAAACCAAGGTAAATGAGGAGGCTGACACTGAGCTCTTGTGCGATACCAGATACCTTTTTCCCTTGATCTGATATTAAATGACCATGAGATCATAGTAATATGATTTACTTAAAATAAACATCACTTTGTTTTTATTCAATTAAAAGATAATTGTATTTATGGCAGTTTCGCTATCAGTAAACTTATTGTTACCTCTTAAAATAAGGAATAATTAATTGAAGCCGTGGTAGCCTAATGGTTTGTCCTACTGCCTCTCAAGCAGAGGGTCGTGGGTTCGAATCCGGGGTCGCACCTCTGAGTTTCTCGAAATTTATGTGCGAAATTTAATTTGAAGTTTATTGGCAAACGTCGTGATGAACCCGTCGTAATGAACCCTCGGAAAACGTGTTATGTCCCCAACCCGCATTGGGCCAGCGTGGCAGACTATGGCCTAAACCCTCGTTTGAAAGGAGACCCGTGCCAAGCAGTGGGACGTATAAATGGGTTGATGATGATGATGAAAGTAAGGAAACTAATGTGTAACGTTTAGTTTTCGTAACGATATTGTATGTACATAGCGTAACACGGTGTAAGGTACGAACTAGATATGAGCGAAAAATCACGTCGCGTGTCTTACGCGGAAAGCTTCGATGAATGCGTATATTTTAATATATTCAGATTATAGTACTAACATCTTAAGAATTTCTGTTGTCCGTAAATAAAGTCTTACATGAAATCAAATGTTTAATTACAGGTACTTGGCGCACTGTCATGGCCGGATGATCAATAAATTCGCGGTGATAGGCGCACCGCATCCTAATCTCTACTGGCAATACCCGCCGTCCGCATTTTGTAATCGCGTATTACATTTTATACAGGTAATTAATTATAAACTACGTACCCGCTACAAAAACATTTATTACTTACATTTACAATAAAGTAACGACATTCAAAAATAATCTAAACACTCCATTGAATTAATTAATTTGTATGCCATAAAATTTGCATTATAACAATGTTATTGTCTGCGATAGTGCAAATCCGCGTATGAAGCCAAATTTCACAGGAGAGGGATTTAACGTTACTGCTTTGTTATTTCAATGGCTACCGACTTTCATTTTTGCACAGTAAACATTAATTTATGTTGTCTACGGACTGATAACAATATATTCCCGTAAATCACACTAAATTGGTTGCCACGACATTTACGCGGATTTTATTTGGCGGCTAAATTACCGAAATGGAGGTTCAGACATTATATTAATTATAAGAGGATATTAACCCCATAGACGTAGGTACGTACGGACGTGAGGGATAACTTGGGAGTTCCTAAACCTGATTCCTAAGATTGACAGACAGAGTTCGTCCAGTGAAGTACTGCCACTTGACCTATTTCTACCGCCAAGCAGTAAAGTGAGCATTACTGCGTGCCGGTTTTGAAGAATAAGGGTGCTGGTGATATTACAGGTACATGGGACTTGTGAACTCTGTGCTTAGGGTGACAGGCGTAGTGGCAATGCCCCTAAGATATTTGCGATTTAAAGTCCTGAGTGACACTGCAACTGTTATGCAAAGGCGTGTCGCTTACCACCAGGCGCACGACTCGTTCGTCCCGTCACTTGGTATAATAAAAAAAAGTATGATAACTCCATTCATATGCAGCAGCGCTGTTTATGTAATTCCAGTGGCCGAACTTCCCCGAGCAGTGGCTAGCCGAAGGTGAACTCCAGGATGGCGAAGGTCGTTGGGCCAGCTCTCGTGCTTGCGACTGGACGGGTCCTTTGAATTATGTCAGAGGTTGGTTATTGGAAGATAACATGGGTAGTGGTTAGGTTAGGGGTATTTCTGTACAGAATCCACCTAGATAACCAGTGGCGAAGGGTCTAATTCTCATCGGCCATTAATAACAAGTTAAAGCACCATCCAAAATAACACTTAAATATAAGCTTCTGCTAGCATGTTCAAATTTGTATTGTGTAGATACAGGTCGCATTACGACAAACCTTAGTGGTTTAAATGCGATTAGAAACATATTTGTGTATTTTGTCCTTTATACAATAAATAAATAAATAAAAAAACCGTGTGGTTAATTTTTAAGGATCAAGTTAAAATTAAAAAAGTTAAAAAAAATATATTACCGACATTTTTATTTTTTTAATAAGTGAATCTGTTGAAAATTATTTTTAATTATATTTACGAGACTTAGAGCAATTTTTGCACGTTGTAATTTTAAGTAGCCAACATGCCATTTGAAAGTTTCCACACATCTCAGTGACCAAATTTAAAAATTAACATTTTTGGGTATCGTCAAAATAAACTTAAAATAAATATTTAATCAAATACAATTTAATCACATTTTTGATCAAACTACTTCGTAAGTATACCAGCAAACCTTCAGTCAAATATGAATATATAAATCTGGGCAATCATGATGAGAAATGAATAATAAAACCCTCAGGTGCTGCCTGGTGGAGGATCCGTCCGAACCACCGCATACAGTCCACAGCGCTTCTCATCGGCGCACGCGACTCTGCCGCGCAGCTGGTCACGTCTGCGCAGCACTGCTTGACGTCCACGCTGCGAATGGTCAACAAACCTGATCCCAGCGACAGTGAACTTGCTAATATTATTCTGGATTTTCTTATTAGTAAGTACATACATATGTTGTACATGCATATATCGACTCCTCCTACTTAAAATATCGTATGTCGAAATTGCCAAGTTTACAGGGAAGCGTTTTAAGGTTCTCAATTCACTGCAATGAGCATAACACGTGACTTTAGCATTTCTCAGTTTTATTCGGCAAAGCTTGTTACTCGCATAGAGTATTGTTAAATCCTAGATATCGGTTAGATGATCTACTAGATGATCACTCTATGTCAGTAATGAGGTTTTGCCAAACAAAACGGAGAACTTTAAAACGTTCCCCTGTAAACTTGGCAATTTCGACATACGATACTTTACGTAGGAGGTGTCGATATATGCAAGATGACTTTTTAGTCACCATCCAATAAGTATCAAACAAAAATTGAGATTTTTTTTTTTTGAGAAATAACTAGTTTTGTTATATTATGAAGAAAGCCGAAAAATCAGTACAAATATCTATAACAAAAGACAGGAAAATTTCTACGACTTGGCAACTGAACCCGTGCCTCAGGTGGTAAGATCAATTCTAGGGTAAAGCATGGACGTGGATTCAGGTCCCGAAGAAGTTTTAACATTGCTTGGGCAACCTACGCTTGACATTTGTCATATCATTCGAAAAACGGGGTGACAGCGACTTGTGGAGGGAATCCACGAGCCGAGGGTCTGATAATTTCGTGACTGTTGGTGTATATGTAAAATCCGGAATTTAAGAAGGAGGTATTAGTATATTATCCATTCTATATGTATTCTATGACGCTTAAGTAAGTATACTCCGCCCACGGAACAATAAATACAGTAGAAGTGCTTACTTGCGTGACGCGTAAGCCAACAGTTCACGGAGTTCCGCAAACTTTATTTAATTTTAATAAATTTTAAATTTTCTATTCATTGTAATCATTTTTTTGTTACAAGAAACTAAAGTAACCCTCATACCGCTGCAATACGGTCGCTTCTTTTTTGGAGAACTGAGTAAATATCTCGAATTCGTCGTCGTTCAGCTATTAACCGCTAGATGGCACATTGATTGAAATTTATATATAAAATTAAAACGTAGCATGCAATAATAGGTATTGATGATATTGCACTTTCAACGATATACCAAGAGGGTAAAGTTTAAAATATGTTAACAGTCCAGATTTTTTTTAATTTGATATCACGACCAATCAATATCAAGATTTCATAGCGTTTCAAATTATGAATGAGTTTGGGCTACAGCGGTTCTGACACTTCTATGGTTTTTTTTTCTTCCATGACGACCTATTCCGATTTTTTCTCATAACACTTTTATGTTTCAACAGTTAAAGAAAAACCTATGGATGGAGAACCACGTACACTAGTGGGTCGAATGCTGGGCGCAGTCGCAGGGCGTGGCAGAGAACTAACAGCTAAACTTGTGCTGCCACCTGCACAAGCATAACTATCTAAGGTCTAAGATTAAGTTTTGAGCAAGCTTTAAGATTGGGCTCGTGTGAAATTTAAATATAAGGCGCTATCTCGAAAATAAAGCGTATTCACTGAACATATATGAAATGTCATGTTCAGTGTCATGTTATGAATATAGAATCATACGCAGACGCAGCTACTAAAGTTTCCCGTTGCGTCGGATCTGTGCTAAATTTTCTCCGCCTGTTTTATCCATAATAATTTTGACCGAACGGATTGCGGGACGCGAGGGAAGAACTCCCCCTCCCCCCCACACCTCACCTTCTAAAATATAAGCTCGCGATGAAATTCCCCGCTTTAAAGAATGAAACCATATGTCATATGGTACGTATGGTGTTATAATTTTTTGTATGGGCGCAATATTGATGCTTGCTTAATATTGAGTAGTGCATACTTATAATTTATTTATAAAATTTTAAGTACAATGAGAACTTCCTATGATACCAAAAACTGTGCTTTTCATAATTACAATTTACATATCTATTTTTTTTTGTGTAAATAAGATTTTATGCATGGTTTTTTTTATGAATTAACTTTAAGCAACGATTAAGTACTGATTTTATACATAAGTAAAATCGTAACATTGATCATGTATATTTATGTTTTATAAACAAAAATGTTAATGGTTATGTATTTTTTCTATATATAAATATATTTTTCACATAATTATTTATTTTATTTAACAAATATGTATAATAACTGCCTCTGTGGCCGAACGGTTACCACGTCGGACTGCCACGCAAAGGTCCCAGGTCCGATTGCCGGGCCGGGAGAAATATATGTTGGTCTACATTTATTTCTTTCGTGAGTTTGGGTGTAATTTGTGGTTGTCTATAGCACCCGCGACACAGGGTTTCCCTAGAGCGGGGTTATATTGAGTATGTGCGTTATTATAAAAAAAAAGTACAGTCAATGGCACACCCAGTGTACGTCGATCACATGAAACTTGAAGTATACTTACAAGGTTGACACAGCACACAATTGCTTGGGAGCTTCCTCCCGGATGCCAACTTAGGTCCTGTGACGCGGTTCAAAGACGTATTATGAGAATTGTTGATGATCCTGTGCTTACAGACGATTATGAACCGCTGTCTTCGTGAAAGTCTCTTCAAAGGCAGTCGCCTTTATTGGATTTCTTTTTTGCATTGGACATTTATCAAAAATAGTATAAGGTAGATCATAAAACTTCTTAAGACTTCTTCTTTCCTCTGTATGCTCAATCGTCCTCCAACATGCGCACTTTGCTGCTGTATAATAAACAGAATTATCTATATAAACTGCACTACAAATATTTTTTTCCTTGTTTTTTTATGTTAACCCTTAACTATAGTCCCTTAACTGCCTCCGTGGCTAAACGGTTACCATGCAGGGGTCCCAGGTTCAATTCCCGGGTCGGGAGAAATATTTGTATAGCCTACATTTATTTATCTCGTAAGTTTGGGTGTGATCTGTGGTTGTCTATGTATGTGTCCATAGCACCCATATTATTATTATTATAGTTGTAAAAAAAATAACCTCATCGCTGTCTAAATCAGTGTTCAACCATTGCTCTATGTCTTCTTGAATTACTAAGACACTTTTTCGATTCGCCATGACTAGAAACTGAAAGAAAAAACAAAATGGACAAAATATGTCACACGAAAAACCATTATTCACTTTTCAAGCAGCGAGCAAAACACGTCCATCTCACAGTGTGCGCTTTGGCGTGACATCGGAGGGTACTAAGGAGTAGGAAGAGCTGCGTCGCCTACAGCGATTCCTACGCGAGTTTAAAGAATGAACTTGCGCCCATTGGTCCCACGACTATAGTTAAGGGTTAAGTTACTATAAAAAATACGAGTTTTCAACTGCTTTTTGTGGTGGTATGCGTTGAAACTTTTTTGCCTCAAACAAAAAATTTAGGAACCTATAGTCTAACCTACGACACAGAACTGTGTGTATCACAAATTAGAAAGATTATAGCGTGCATTAGAAATGACTAACTAGCGCGATTGTGTTTTAATAAATTATATTTTCGCAACACAACTGTGCTCAGTAGTGAACCTGAAGAATTTCCTCCTGTGGCGGCCGTATCTCGGCGGCATTGCTGCCAGGTGTCCAACGGAAGAATGAGTGTGCATGTTCCCATCATTTTCCCTATTCTTCGACCTACATACCATTGTTCAAGCTACCTGCAAATGCAGTTAGTAGAAATTCTAAACAACTGCTTGACATGACGCGAACAGCAACATTTTAACATCGCACCGCTCACCACCGACAGGGAACCCATCATCGTATTCTGGAGACGAGTCGATCTCGTACTGTACAGTCAGAGGAGTCAGAGGAGCTTCCTCTCACGTATAATTCGGTTGCGGAATGAACTCACTGTCGGTGTTTTCCCACAGGAATACAGCATGGAGACCTTGAAAAGTCCTAAAGGATTGGCAACGGGCTTGTAACGCACCTGGTGTTGCAGGCTTCATTGGCGACGGTGACCGCTTTCCATCAGGCGGATTTTATGCTTATTTGCTGCCTACATAAATTAAAAAAACAAGATTGATGCTTAGTTTTGAATAACGCCCGTATAGCACTGTAACAAGGCCCATCACTGTTAAGCTTAATTTGCTACAAAGTATCAAGCTGGAAATGCTCTTAGTTAAACCTGTATGCGCATGCATCTCCGAATGAACTGATTTGGAGATACTTCATATAATTTATAACAATGTCTTTTAACAATGGTCTAAGCTATAAATTTCGATTCGCGCCTTTTTAATCATTAATTTTTTTACCGACAACAATAGCCAATGTTAATAAGATTAAGGGTGTAATAGTAATTTGGCAGGAATATAAGGTAAAGATAAGCTGGAAATACCACGGTGTACACGTGGTAATATCATGGTGTACACATGGTAATACCATGGTATACAAATGCTAATACCCTGGTGTACACATGGTAATACCCTGGTATACACATGGTAATACCATGTGTACCAGCGCGGCAGTCAAATTATGACTATATTCGCGCCGCATACGAGCGGGTTGATAGGTGGTTCGTTCATTGTGACGCTTTTAAGAGGACTATGTAGAATCGAATATACTGAACTATACTACACTGACCTTAGTGGCGGGTTTCTTGCTCGTATGCGCAGCTCTCCTTAGCAGTGCTCTTCCTCAACTTCTTCGACGTCCTAATTAAGGATCGATGGGTGATCCAAGGCGGACGCGCGTTACCCAGAACGTTTAGTTGTAGACAGTCCTAACTATGAACAGTAGCTCGGTTGCAGCTGGGTAAAAAGGATAGCAATATAAATGTTGAAGGAAATGAGGGTAGGTGAATTAACCTAAGCGCCATCTACCGTAGCATCAGCGCGAACACCATGTTATACACGTGGTAATATCATGGTACCGAAAACGTAAGTTGTACATCCAATATTTTGTAAAGTCGATAAAGTTTTTAAATGAAAAACAAAAGCATCAAGTGCGAATGCCTTTTAATACGCAATATGCCCACAAAAAGCTAACCGTATATAAATTTCTCGCTATCGATATATTATATTCACAAAAGTTAATAGATTTCAAAATGCTTCTATAAATTTCTACGCGCATTGAATTGCGTTAAGGAAGATTACTATATCACATTAGCTCAAATTCTTAACATAGTTTGCTATAGGAAACATGCAAGTAACTATTAACGCCATCTGCCGACTCAATTTGGTATAGTAAGTATGAAAAAGTGTACATTTATTTATCACCCAGAGCAATAGAAAGACGATCAAACATTTCTGAAACTTGTGAAGTAATCCTCACAATTAAAGAACTAGCTAATACCCATACTAGTTTTATGTCTATGCTATAAAACAAAATAGTAACTTCTAAAACGTATCTGATATAAGTGGCGACATTTATAATTATTGCACTTTCCTAAATCCAATACCCTGTCAATTATTGATTTTTATTTGACAACAACTACAAAAAAATAAAAAGATATTGCGCTTTAAAAACATTGATCAGGAAGATCACCAACATGATAGTGTGAGCATCATTCACGGTTGACATGTTGTGACCTTGTCTTGGCGCTAGTGTCGACAATTGACATCAAAGCCATGTTGTCAATAGAAGAAAATAGTTCTTTGAACTCCCGCAACATGGTGAGTGTCTGATCATAACTTGTCAACCCTTAAATCCGTTTATGAAAATGACCGTTTAAAAAATCAGTTTAAAAACAACGCCGTGAACCGCCGCAAAATAGAAACAATAATTAATAGGGTATATAACAAATAGATATTACAAACATTCGTAAAGACGCACTAAGCAGAAGATCTGTGTAAGATCTTGACCGCTAGTGTGAAGTGACCATAATACTCGGTGCAAAATAAGTAAGATTGTAATTAATAGGCCAATTCTTTCCACTATTATACTCGTGTCCATTTTGCAAAATTCCGCTTCTTTTGAATATTTGTGTGGACGGTTGTAACATGTGAAATGGTCCTCCTGACTGCCGTACTTACATTTTTGATGTAATTAAATAAGACGATCAAATTCAGCTTTCAAAAGCGAACATTCTACACTTAATATTTTTTATATCAATAGAACTCAATGACTAAACTTGTTTGACACGTGGTACACAGCTCAAAACGTGGAGTGAAAAAAATTGAGGAATGCTAATTACGACAATTAGTCAGGAGAGACATCATCAGGAAATTTAATAAAGGTTCTTTTCATCGTTGGGAGAGTTATGGAATTTTTCTCAACTTCATTTGCACCCAGTATTATACTATAAATCTATGTGTCAACAATTACCTAAGCTTTCTAAAAGTAAATAATAAAAATCAAATAGGCCTTATATCAAGAGATATTACACATTACAACGTCGATAGGCACACTTTCTTTTAAAATACTGAACTTTTGTCTAAACTTCTAGTTTTTCTAGTTTAGGAAACTGTTTAATTCTTCTCAAATATTTAAATTTAACTAAACGTCTTGCTAACAATGTCGTATATGGCCAAAAAGCTCTTGTGTAAAACGATTTTCAAACCCGGGGGTCAATTCAGAACCTTACGATAACTCAGTTGTCGACCGATTCCATTTCATATCGTACGACTTCTTTTCATTTTTATTCAAAACACCGGAATCGAACGTCAAACTGTCGTACTCAAAACCGAACCGAAATGACGTCACACCCGTACAATTACTCGAACTTCTCGACCGGCAAAGGCTACTGACGTTATTCGGAACGCAGTTATCGAATGAAAGTTAACGAACGTTCTATTGTTTACAAAGCAAGAATGTAATATGGAAATCTCTTATTATTTTAAATAAAGTATGGATTTTGTTCAATTTTATTAATTTAAGACCTCTAAAGTCTTAAAAATTTGTATAAAAGGATTTTCATTTTTCTTATAATCTGACTAACTCCGTAAACGCTGTTGGATAACGATATCGCATCCGAATCCGAATAGCACGTTTAACTCGAATGATCTGAATAGCTTGGAAAGTGCCCTTCGAATCGAACGATTCGGTTAAAATATCTAAGAGTTCTGAATCGGGGTCCCGAACAGTTGATCAATGTAACAAAAGAGATTGTCCACTGTAACGAGTGATTGTCAACCGCAACGAAAGCGAATCGACGACTGGTTTTTAACGATTTTTGCGCTAGCGCAATCTGTGAATGTATGAAAGTTATTTTATTTTTATTTTTTTAAATTTATTTTTACATTTTGACATAATTAGCAAGACTATGTTAAATACATCGTTGTAAAGGGTTTTTCAATAGACAACAATTTTGTATTTCATTAAAACACAAAATAAATGAGATAGCTAAAATGTATTCCAGGTGTAGTACATATATTACATTTAATTTGCACCGTTCAATTCTTTGGAATCAATTTTCCACCACTCTTCCAGTCGTATCCACTGATATTGTTCCATAAAAATCATTCAACGGCGTTAGATCGCATGGACGAGGTGGCCATTCAACCGGATCATTTAGCGAGATCACACGATTATCGAACTTTCTCTTCAGTAGATCAATTATTTGACCAGCTATGTGACCGCTGCAAACGTATCACGGTGGTCATATGAACGAGATTGAATTCCATCTTTAAATGTAACATGTGTAATGCATCTGGAATACATTTCACCTCGACATCCTAATTATGTTGTTTTATTGAAATATAAAATTGTTACGTTAACGAAAAACCCCTTATTACACGACAAATTTCATGCAAATATAGTTTTAATGCTAAGGCCTTTGTCATACACACACAGTTTCAAAGTATTTTGGAACATAGAAGGCGTTTACATGACAATGCAACAGTTTGCTTTGCCTCAAGAAGAAGTCGCAGCAATTCATCTTCACAACAATGGTATGAAATTGATTGAACACTTTCCAAATACTAGAAGAGAAACAGTATTATAACATGACGATGATGACATAGACTAGAATCAAGGCGGGTGATAATGGCATCAGTCAATTTCAAAATGCGTAAAAACATTTAAGAATCTCATGGAACTTTTTTAATATTACCATTGTCATTCCTCATGCGGAAGATAGAGACGTAGAATTATAACAATTTAGATTTTAGTTGAAAAATAGTACACTGACTACAGAGCTTAATAAAACATTCATTTATAAGAATTATTACAAAAGTTTGGCACATAGAAGTACGTTTTTATGAGACCTCGATTAATACATTAGTGAAGCCTTAATGGGGGCTACCATCGAGACGCTCATTAATAGGCGTACACATCGACTCTGAAAAGGTAAAACGGTAACGTGCGTTTGGAAAATATTATAGGAGAAATGTTTAAAGTAATTTTTTAACAAAAAAAACTTACGTGGATGCCTTACTTTGTCAGACTCGTATCTTATAAAGAGTGGATTATTCAAGAGATGGTAAAACTTTATATTTATTTTAAATTTCTTATCAAGGGTGTTAATTTGGATACATTACTTTAAGAACAGGTAAAAGCCAGTATGTGAATACTAAGGAAATTTTATGTGAAATCAGCTTTTTTTTGCACTTCAGAAACTTTGTGCTTTAAGATAAGAGTTGGAGAAAGTAAGGCAACGATATGGTAAACTAGAAAGTTTCAGCTTTTCCACACAACAAATAAAATTGGAGTTATAACTACGAGAACATAGACGATAATATTTTCCAAATACACGATAGGCGTTATACCTTTCTAGGGTCGAATAAACTTATAGAGTAGTCAAAAGTACATCGTCCTTTTGTAAATGCAGGATTTCTTAGAAATTTCGCTTTTAGAAGAAAAATTGTAAATTAAAAATGCTCTCCGTTTTCACCGTAGGTAAGGGAAGAAATCACTGTGCTTCATCGTGACCAATTTTTTAATTTTGGTGCTTGCAATCACCATCGAGCGTAAATTCAGCTGCATTTTTCGCTATTTCCTATTTCATACAACGCATGAATCTAGGTCCTAAGTGAGGGTATCTCTAGCAGCCATCATTGGCAAAACACGAAGACAAAAAGCTATCGCTTTTCTTAATCAGACCCAAAGTAAACTTAGAAATAAATAACTTGAACTATTATACAACTTACGCTAACAAATGTACAACTTAAATAATGATAGATACTAAGTAATAATAGATTTTTACTATGTCAGAGATTTATTTTAAAAAGTTGACTATTTAACAGAGTGTGTTCTGAATCGTTTTGGAAGTTCAATTAGCTATTTTGAAAAACGTTCTCTATTAACTTGTCAATAAAAAAAAACATGTGTCAGTATAACTTTTGTTATTATACTAATTCTACCATCGTACTTTTAAAAATATGTAATAAATAACTGACATCGTGAAAATGCACATTGTTGCGTTTCCATTCACGTGACACTAAGCGTAATTTACGTAAAAAATCTTTTATTTGTTCGAACACCAAACTAAAAATCAGTTCGGTTTTAATCATTAACTAGGTACGATTTCAGTACTTAATAGTACCTAATAGGCATATAGAAAAATCTTAACCTTCTAACTCTTAAAGCGTTCCGGTTATAACATCCTTTAAAGGGGGCTATCTCACGTCGCAAATGGAGTAAAAACCATCATATCAAATTAGTTATGATACACAGTTACATGTGACATTGATAATAGCCATGCTTACGGTAGTTCTCATACCACAATTTTGTCTTCCATATTTGTAATTTTTTTTACAACGTCTGTCATAAGCTCTAACAGCTTTCAGACTGTTGTTTCTCCTTTAACTTCAGTGTCTGACACAGCTTCACTGACGCAACTGTCGCTGTCGTTCGGTTTCAACGTGACGTCACTGTTCACTGTCACATCCAAACCCTCTTTCCTTGGCGTTCTATCTTTATCTCTACTTGTAATTTGAGTATATAGTTCATCTAACTCACTCACAAAAGATACAGGACTATCTCTGTTCACTTCAGGACAGCTTAATGCTGGCGTTGAAACGTATTTCCCTAATTTAGGATTGCTCTTTATTGTTTTCCTCCATCCAGGGTCATAGTTGACATACTGACTTTCAATATTAGACACGTCTTCGTTACTAAAACTTATTTCATTGGGACACATGGAGGATGGCGACGGTGCATATAAACCATGACTTCGAATGCTCACTTCAGACATTTGGTAATTTGGGCAATAGATGTCGCTTTCATTCTCAAAGCCTTGTTCACTAGCATTCGTGCTACACGTTTCAAAATCGTAAGTTGTTTTTGCACCGAAAAAAGTATCTTTGCCGTCGTCATTAGAGTCTTTGATTTCCATATCTACGTTTTGTAGAAGATTATCTAATTCTCCAGGATCAGCTTCTAAATTCTGCGGTGTGCTAGATCTGTTAATTTCTTCACTGTTCATTGTGCATTCTTCAGAAATATCTTGCAAAGATTTGTCAATACATTCTTTATTATCTTGTTTATTGGGTTGAACATAGTCTATGTATTGCCCAAAACTTTCCGGGTCGGTGGTTTCGTTTGCTGCGCTTTCTTGAAATGATGTTATTTCTGAATGAGTGTTCAGTGTCTGGTCCGAACATGTATGAGGCATTGCTATTTCGGACGCAGAACTGTATTCTAAGCTACATTGCTGTGATATTGTCCTCATTTCAGGTTGTTCAGCGTGACTTTGGAGACACTCTTCTGACGTACTTGTTCTTTGATTGTTAAATGTTTTTGGTGCTGCTTTAACAACTTGGTGCTGCGGTACTTGAGTCTCAGGAACATTTGTATAAATATTCATGATCCTGCTCGATTTGGGATCCTCGCTTTTGTTCCAAGATTTCCTATCATTGTTATAATTTTTATAATCATTCGAATCATCTTGCAGTAAGTTAGGATTACCAACATGACGCCTTTCTTTTATACCGTTATTTGATCTTTCCACGTGGATATTTGTGTTGTTTACTTTCGATCCAGAGTTAATAATATTCGCGACGCCATTGTAAGCCTCTTTTGAAGGCAACGGTAAAGAGACATGTGAATCATTATCAAAATCCCTTCTTATAGGTAATTCCAGGCAATTCCTTTTCATGTGTTGCCTTTGTTTTTTGAAGAATTTCTTAGCTACGTTCATCTGGTTAGGATTGTAGAAAACTTCTGGACCAACGTTCGTTGTGTCAGGATACGTCATCATAGAATTGTTGGATCTGTACTGTTGTCTATGTAACACTACTAGATTGATATTTGGCGTTTTTCCATTTGTGTTTTTGAGGAGATCCTTTTGCAAAGTCTGCCCGTTTAGTTCCGCACCACCTTTGTACGTTCCACTATTGTTAGTTTTAGAATTAGTTCTATTGGAACTTCTACTTTCAGATCTAGATCTGTTATCATTCGGAATTGGAAGTGTCAAAGGTGCAGAAGTTTGATTTGGAGGTAAATTTTGCTGATTACTATCGAAAACACTTCTATTCCTACAACATTTTTTGCTGTTATGGAAATAACAATGCACCATAGACCATTGATCCCTTACGTCACTTCTCGCAATACCGTAGAAGAACAAAATAAAAGTACCGAGAACGGTAGCGCAAACTGCATAAATGATGCTACAGATATCTTCTTGATACGGCAAGTATGCCGGCAGCGGTCGGTACACAGCTATAGCGCCACATGTCCATACAGACATGTACAAGCATAGAACAATAACTTGTGCGCGCAACTGTATTATAGGTGTATGCTCAATATCGTCGACCTCAGAATCTGCAGCAGACTTTATGCTTCTCCGTTCAGGATTCTCATTGGTTTGATTCGGTTCCCACATTTCTAAATCAACATTCTCAGTCGCTTGTGTACCTTCTGACAGTTGCACGTTCATGTTCCTAATAGTGCATCGTATGAGCAAAAACAGTACGAAGAGGAAAGTTAGCAAGATCCCACCAGGTACGAACAAAGCACTCAATGCCGGAGCAGTACTCAAGAAACACTGCGAATAACCCGCATAATCTTTCAAGTTAACCGCTCCCGATATACCGCAGACTATCAAAGCAATACCCCATCCCACTAAATAAAGCCCCAAAATAGGTTTCTGTACAGGTACATCAGGAGGAATATCATCCTCCGGTGTCCTAACAGGATTGTGCGTCTTTGTCACCCATTTATACATGTTACTTGCCGACACACACATCCATAATAAACAAGAAAGAGACAGATAGTGTATCAAAAGACCGAGCACCTGGCACAATTTGACTTCTTCGGTCTGGTATATTCCCAAAGTGTACATGAAACAGAGTAATCCTACCGCAATCCAAGTATTGATTAGTGCGTGTTTGGTTTTCTTAGCCATCTGTATGGCAGGGTAGCACATGATGTAGGTGAGTGTGGCGCAGCTGACGCAGCCGATGAGAATGAGGCTCCCGACGTAGACGGCGGGATGGGACACTTTGAAACGAGCGCCGTCGGTTCGTGCGCCGTAAATGCCAGTTTCCACGTTTTGTAATAGACCAACGTACGCCAGTTTATAACATCGAATGAACACCATTCCGGATACGTATTGCATTATTATGCAATCTGAAAAGAGAAATTTGTTTTCTTTTTTAAAAACACTACGAAATAAATTATTGCCAAAAGTTCCGTCTATTTTGGAATAAAAAAAATATATCCCAATAAATTAAATTTAATATTTCTCAAAAACGCTCGGAAATGTTTGTACTTCCAAGTACTTTTCAAAGAACCCAGAAAGTGAGTCATTTACGGAGCGTGCACCTCTTTGCAGGCCATTTTCTTTTTTTTTTCACTGACACTGGCATTTTGCCGCTGATGGCCTTGACTGTGTCACCAGATAAAATCTTTGCCGACCTAGATCGAAAAAATAAGTATGAAAATCCAATATTGTCCGTTGCACTAAACTTTTAAATATCTACTAACAAAGAACTATGTAAACAGACTAAAGAAAAACTGTCATACAGCCAACTTTTCTCTAGTATTAATGCCAATTCAATTATCTTATATACTTGTACAAGACCATTGCCGTAATTGCGAGAATTAAAAAAATTGTATATGGTATTACTTATTGTGCATTTAATTATGGTGCACGATAATATATGAAGAGGCTGTATAGTAGAACCTTTGCCTTCCCAAAAAAGTTAACATAAAAAAATATGGTACACGAATAGACCTGCTCCATATACTTTAAACAGGCAGTAAAATAAACGAAAGCACTTTGAAGTTATTTTTTGTTATTTCTATTTTTTGTACTGTTTCTATATTCTTCGCGAAAATGGGTTCTAGTTAGAAGAGCGAAAATACTGTAACGGACTGTACTCCGCCTAATTTAAAACAATAATATTGAACATATGTTCATAAGCTCACGCCCTAGTCTAGTAGGCAGAGACCACGGAACGCCACTTTATCCTGACACAACTCTCGAACCTCATATACATCAACTACCCTTTTTAAACGTAATTGTACGAAAAGACTAGTCGATGTATATTGTATATATGATAATATAATACGAGTATCCCATACCCGAAGAGTTATCCCTCCACCGGCGAGTGTCGGGGTCCCAAATAGCCACGCGGCCGTCGACTCCACCCAAAAAACTGGCACGCACCGTTACCAAAATTGGCTCCACAAGGTCTTGAAGAGTTGCATTTGCTGAAACAGTAATATCTAGCATTACACACATACGTACACCATCAATGGGTTGATAAGACCTACAGCTAAGCACGAGTCTCCTCTAAGAAGATTAGGTTGGGTGAAGATTAGGCTAGACTTAATGACTGAGGTACCTCTCCAAAATGTTACCATCATCAATCCATTCAAAACGTCTTGCTACTAAGCACGACTCTCCTCCACGGTGAAAGTTTAGGTCATAGTCTACCACGCTGGCAAAATGCAGGTTCGGGACACACGTTTTTCAAAAATTGTAAACCTTGGACATGCAGGTTCAACCACGATGTTTTCCTCTACCGTTAGCAAAAGACTTTTGTAGACATAGCAATAACGGCTGTTTATTAACGCAACATACTCAGAGTCCCGCACTAGGGAAACCCTGCATCGCGGGTGCCATAGACACATACATAGACAACCACAAATTACACCCAAAATAAACGAAGGCCATAGAAATATTAGCGAATGAATATTAAATAAATAAATAAATAAGTAACGCACACACTCAACATAGCCCCGCACTAAGGAAACCCTGTGTCGCGGGTGCCATGGACACACATATAGACAACCACAAATTACACCCAAACTCACGAGAGAAATAAATGTAGGCCATACAAACATTTCTCCCGACCCGGGAATCGAACCTGGGACCTCTGCGTGGCAGTCCGGTATGGTAACCGTTCGGCCACGGAGGCAGTTAAATATTATGTAGTATTGCCAGATTTCTTACATTTTTCGTAACTTTTGAGGACATTCAATTATATTTATTAATGTTAATCCTAAATAATTTATAAACGCCGAGAACGTTGAGAAGAACCCTAATTAGAGAAAAAGTAACTCAGAGATGGCGCAAAGAAAATTTAATCAAACAATTACTGGTTATAGCTTGATTGTTCTTGACCGTACTTACTTTTTGCTATAGTAATAAATGACTACTTCTAGCAAAAGGAATTCCTACTGAATACAAATGTTCGCGAAATAAGAAATTGAATTCGTACATGCCACCACGGGGATTAGAACCTGTCGACCTCTCAAATAAGGAGCAAAGCACTGAGCTAGCGTTGTTTAAAGACTCATATTTGAAGTACAATATTATTATCTAAAGTTCATCGCAGTCATTTATGGCATTATTGAAAATTCTTTAATCCAATGAAGTGTCACGTCAAATGTGCAGCTTATACGTAAAAAGTTTAGGTAAACCTTTGACTGCAGTAGCGGATTCCTTGATTTATAAAAAGAATTTCTTGTAATTATTAATACAAAGATCGAAAACTCAGAAAAAATTCCTTCGTTCCGGCCGGATTCGAACCGACATCTTCTAGCATACCGTGCCAGACGCTATACCAACTAAGCCACGGAACGAACCAGCGGACCTCACGAATTTTTCTATGTGCTTGCGTCGTATTTTTGTACTTGGTTTTTCAACGACTTTAATATTCTCACTTTGATATTCAATTATTTTTATGTGAAATTATTCAATGAAAATTTAAGAATTTCTCGTTTTTCATAAAAGTAGCTGAAGTATAAACAGAATTCTTACTCAATTGAAATCCGACAACAGGAGAAGTAATTTCCATGCTCATATCATCTCTCTTTGTGCTTAATCCGTAATAATCCTTAGACCTGTGCCCCTGGCTGGTCATGTCCCTTCCTGGCAGCAGAGGGAACAGCGAGGCGTCGTCGTACATTGCTACTACAACGTCGTGGGGTCGTTGTTGGAGGATTGTGTGGTCGTCAATGCGGCTATAGAGGAACGACAGTGGTACCTAAAAGGTTACAATTGAAATTCAAAAATATAATAATAACACACACACACTTATAATCTCGCACTAGGGCGCCCGTATCGCGGGTGCGACATAAGGCGCGACAAACTGTTATTCTAGCATAGAGCATAGCAATAACTCGGAATTTATGTTGCTCTCGCGCCCGCTCGTGCTAGCTCTACAGGAATTGAACCCAGGACCTCTGCGTGGCAGACCAGCATTGTAGTCTGCAGGCCACTGAGGCGGTTAATCTTATCTTTTTTCTTACGACACCAAGTGACGGGACGGACAAGTCGTGCGACTGGTGGAAAGCGACACGCCTGTCCACAACAGTTGTAGCGCCACTCAAAGCTTTAAATCGCAAAGATCTGAGGGGCACTGCCTCTGCGCCCGTCACCCTGAGACATAAGTTGACAAGTCCCATGTGCCTGTAATTTCACCAGCACCCTTACCCTTCTAAACCAAACGCAGTAATGCTTACTGCTTGGCGGCAAAAATAGTTAAGGTAATTAAGGTAAGGGTAAGGTTGGAGGCATATTAAGTTATAATATTATGGCTACCTGAAAGAAATTGCTACTTGGTCGTAAATCCGCCCATTGTACATTAGATTATTCAAATATATTTACATTACCGTTCTGTAATTGTAATTTTTAATGTACTTTAATTGTGTTATAAAGGCGGTAAGCCTAATCACGAGCACAAGGACATTGAAATCTACGTAACGAATTCACCTCATACTTATAAAACTTTAAAAAATCACTCACTTGCACACTAGCATGTATAAAGGCATCCATAACGTTGAAAGATGGTGTAACAGTTCTGTTGGTAGTGGTGCAATGCAATCGCGGTGTGTAGCCCTTAGCCGTGCTGTACCACACACAGGTAATTCCGCTGAAACCTTCTCGGACGGGGAACCTCTCCACTGCAAGGTTCACCTAAAGAAAATTAACGTCATAATACTTTTTGATACATATATGGCTGAAAATAATGCTGCATTTTGCACCGCTTTCATCTGACTTTACATTGTCAAAAGTTTTTGTAAATATCCACCAGATACGTATTTTAACATAATAGATACACGTATGATAATTATAAAGACCCTATTATGGGGAACACCACATCGCTCAATTAGTATCAGTCCCTATGAGATGATGTTTGGATAAACCGACAACAACCACATAACCACCTTTGACACGCAATTTCTCATGTCGTTTGCGAACTCTCTGGGAAGGCCATAGAGTTTTAGCCCGAAATTATGGGCCTACTTGTCAGAAATGGGTGTTGGCAACAATAACAAGAAAGTTGGGCAAACTACACTATGAGCTGCAAACTGATACCGGACAACAGCGATTCGCGAATGCGAATGATTTCGATATGCGACTCGTTAGTAATTACTAACCTACTAATTTTCGTATTTGAATGATCATATATTACCACAGATCGGAATAGGTAGAGTTTTTACCTAAACTTCGAGGAATATAGACAGAAAATGGGGTATGCCCTTTGCCACAGAAGTTATCCGAAGTTATCTGTGACAAGGGGTATATGGTACAAAACTATCCAATTGCGTCCTCCATGAAAGCCCTGGTTCGAGGAGGGTAGACTATCCAAGTCATTGTTAATCATTGTTATATATATTAACACATTCCATTAAATAAGTTTTACTATTTCATGAGAAGGGCAGAATCCCCTCAATGCCAATTCTTTAACAAGTTGGAGGACATGCTTCATTTAATGGAATGTGATGATGTGGGAGAGCTAAATTTAATGCTGAGCAACCCGTTGACGAAGAGTGCTGAAGCTCTATACTCCTATGTGAGGTTTTGCTTTCTGATGAGGATCAATACCTCACATGGGAGTAGTGACAGATAAACTAAGAGACTTATTTATATGTATACATACATTACGAGGCCGACATAAACGCCCGAACGTTTCAGGCCTCTTAAAACTAGATAAAAAAAAATAAAAATAATGGGGGCTGCGTTACGACAATATTTTTTAGGTTACAGGACCTTTTCAGGATTGGGGAAATCACTTAACATTAAAAATTGACGTAAAGGGGGACAGGTAGGTACACCATATTTATCTTAACTTTGCGACTCACAGTGGGTCGGATTTGCGATATTGCGGACATTGGATTTTTTTCACGACACCTCTCTAAAAAAATGCCAATCGAGAGATCCTATTGTCGTAATTAAATATTGTCATATCACATTTTGCCGTAAATATAATAGTTTAGTAGAAAAAGAATAAAATGTGTATTTTTTGTATGGGATCATACCTTTACTGCCCCATCGTTACAAAGTCGATCCTGTCTTGGTATCGCTGCAGACGTATTGTTAGACCTATCTTCTATAAATTTGCACACTAAACATGCGCCCAAACCTGCCCATTCACCACTTATATTGCACATTTTCTGACGCGTACTTTGTAACAATTGGGCACTAAATTTGTGGTTCCATACAAAAAATACACATTTTATTTTTTCCTACTAAACTATTACATTTATGGCAAAATGTGACATGACAATATTTAATTAGGATAATAGGACCTCTCGATTGGCATTTTTTTTCCAAAAATCCAATGTCCGCAATATTGCAGATCCGACCCACGACGTTTTATTGCAACACCAATTTTTCCGAATAATTAGGAAAATTTTGTCAAAAAAATTCTAAGCCACAGAATGAACCAGCGGACCTCACGAATTTTTCTATGTGCATGCGTCGTATCTTTGTATTTGGTTTTTTCAATGACTTTTTAGTCGTAGCGCCATCTGAAATCTATGTAAGTTTTATCACCCAGTTAGATATCTTTACAGTAACCAGTCCTGGCGAGAGATGTCGCTATTCACGGTATTTTAAATTTTTATTGATAGGATATTCAATTATTTTTTGTGAAATTACTCCACTAGTTTGTTATATTTATTAATAAAAAGATCGACTCTCAGAAAAAATTCCTTCGATCCGGCCGGATTCGAACCGACGTCTTCTACCTTACCGTGCCAGAAGCTATACCAACTAAGCCACGGAACGAACCAGCGGACCTCACAAATTATTCTATGTGCATGTGTTACTAGACAGCCTCATCTGTTTATCAGTTCCTAACTTGTACATTATCCATCTATCATGTACCTGTCATACAAAAGTTAACGTACCTTATGTCCTTGAACATTAGCAGTATAATTAGAAATTTCTTCCACAGCGCGTAGCATATCAGTACACGAGCCGTATTGGCTCTCCGCTGCTGACATTACTGCCTTTGTTATATTCATTGATGCACTAATTACGTCGAGGAGGGCTGAACCTGAAATTAATTACAATAATAACATTCACTTAATTAAAAAGGTACAACACCTTAATCTAGATACAGTAAAGGTGAGACCATGTTATAACATTAGTTGTACACAATTGTTATATACAAACACTAATATTAACCAACTAACTTCTAAGCTTAAATAAGTTATAGGAGTGAGCAGTCCATCGTATGATAGACAAAAAACCATTACCCATATAATAACCAACAATTGTAATAACTACCTTACACACCACATATGGATGCCAAACATGGTCACTTACTAAAAAACATTACAAAAAACTTGAAGTTTGTCAGAATAGTATGGACAGAAATGTGCTTAAAAGATAAAGTCAAACTAACCATAATTAAAAGCAAATCAAAGACTAAAAAAGTTACATATATAATAAAACAGCAATAATGGCGTTGGACAGGACACATTATGAGAGAAAAAATTGATAAGTGGACAAGGGATATTGTGGAATGGTACCCAAGACAAGGAAAAAGAAAAAAGGGGATATCATACTTTTGATGGGAAGACAATTTTAAATATGGGCAACATATATATACGAGGAGCATGAAGACAAACAGTAGAAGATAGGGAGAAATGGAAATATCTCGAAGAGGCCTAGGTCTTAGGACAAGCTGAAGGACAACTAATTTGAGTTATAATAAATAAGTAATATATAGTAAGTATGCATGTCATACAATGTTTCTGTGTTAGATAAGTTAGTACGTAAGTTATCAGCAATGAAGACTATAAGTAAATATAAATAAATAAATAAAAAATAACTACTTTAACCTGTGGACAACACATTGCTGTACCTCCTAAGCCAATAAAGCCCCCAAATTGTTATACGAAACTGATTAACTCCCGAATTAATAATATGGGTTATTATATTAAAAAACGAATCTTACCCAAATCCTTTTCCTCCCTTATATACTGCATATAATTCCTTATAGCTTGAGCAATGAACATCACATCATCCGGATCATAAATAAGAGCATATGGGTATGTATTATCCTTAATCAACATTGTCAGTCTCTCCGTGGCATTGATAGCTGAATATTGTACTAAACTTACGTTCAGGAGGGCAAATTGTTGTAATAGTTTTGTAACATTACTTGTGTATGAACATTCAGTTGTGTTGACCGGTCCCCAGTGTCCTTGAGGATCACAGTAACGGTATGCCATACCTTCTCCAATATGACAAGGTACTACAGCCGTATGATTTAATAACAATTGAGGCCATGAATAAATACCCTTATTATTCTTTGTGTACTCTGTCAAACAATATTCTGTACTGTTAGATATAACCACAACTTTAATAGTATGATTGTGACTAATATTATTCTGCTCCATGTATCTACATACCCAATCGCCCATATGGTGTTCTGTAATATTGGAAAAATGTATCTTTGTCTCGGCAATACCATCTTCTTGCATATCTGTATTTGTAATATTGACATCACAAATTTCTAACATCGGATGATGCCATTTGAGTTCGTATTTAGCAGCAATAGATGCGAACGGAGCATTACAAGATAGTATTAAGGAATCCCCTTCGAAGACAACTTGATTGTGAGATGGTTGCACAATTAAACTGTTTAACGGAAGCACACTCCCACATGCGGATAGATTTAAGTATATCTTCAGTTTTCTTACAAGTCTCGTGACCATGTTTTCGGGTGATGCGCATTTGACGTTGCCGATTTTAACACTGGTGTTTCGCGCCCAATCTCCCAACCAGAGAAGATTACAATCACATATTAGTGGATTGCCTGTTAGGTCCCTGAAAAAAATAAAAGAAAAAATAATCAGTCAATAGATATTATAATTCATAATTGTGCAAATTGTAAAACACTACACACTCAGAGTAAGACTATGCCAGATTTTTCTAGATTTAATAGAATTTCTTTTGTTTTTTAACAAAATACGTCATTACGGACAATGACAGAATCCCTTGAAAAGAAAAATGCTAAGTAAATTGTTCAGTATTAAAAGAAATCCTCTGTCTCATACTTACAAGTGAGTCAATCCCAGCAAATAGTCAAAAGTTCCAGGGGACAGCACTGAGATATTATTCTGGGCCAGAACTAGAATTTTCAGACTCGCAACATCCTTGAACATGTCCTTGTAGATGTGCGTTATTTGGTTGTAAGAGAGGTCTAGCCGTTGCAGAGATGTCATGTTAAAGAATGCATCTGGCTCTATTTCTATTATTTGGTTCCTGCTGAGATCCCTGCAAATAAAAATTACCCGAAATTCATACAAAATAACTAACTAGCCAATCAACACCTCTTTTTTATTTAAATAATCATCTAAGTGCAAAGAACTAAAAAAACCGACCTCAAAAGTTTATGGAATTACATCTATTTGCCAAGTTTTATTAAAATCAGTTACCGAAAAGTGCACAAAACCGAATGCCCTAGCTTGCCACCCTTAGAGATGGAATATTTTCTTCAAATTGAAATGGGACCAATACTGAGGTATCTCTTTCCAACAAAAAAGAGTCATCAAAACCGGTTCATAAATGGAGTTATCAGCCGGAGTTATCGTGTAACATACACACAAAAAGAAAAAAAAAACTATCATTTTGAGAACCTTCTCCTTTTTTTTAAGTCATTTAATAATAGGGGAAGTCACTCACTTATTTTAATGAAGGTTTGACAACCTCGGTTGCCTAACGGTTTTCACTGTGGGTACTGGAAGTGAAATTCCCAGGTATGATTCCAGTGGCAAATTGGTTCTGGTCTGGGTACCAGAAAGTGTCCCAGAATTCCATTGCTCCAGTACTCAGAGTATATATATAGACTAGTTTGAGACCAAGCAATTGGTATAATTGTCTGGCATTTATATATGGCAATATATTATATTAAAAGGTGTCAATAATGCGCACACTCAACATAGCCTCGCACTAGGAAAACCCTGTGTCGCGGCTGCCATGGACACACACATATACAACCACAAATTACACCCAAACCCACAAGAGAAACAAATGTAAGCCATACAAATATTTCTCTCAGCCTGGAAATCGAATCTGGCAGTCTGCGTGGCAGTTCAGCATGGTAACTGTTCAGCCACAGAGGCAGTAAGATGCTTTTATTTACTTATAACATTCATACGAATTTAGTTAATAAATATGCATTATAGAGACAAAATTACAGCTTCCTATTCCAGGCTGTACTAGTACAACAATAAAGACTATATTTATGAGATTAATCATAGAAGTACTTACAATTTCTGTAACTTGGGAAGGTGCAGTTCTCTTGATAACGTAGAAATTGCATTGCCTGACAAATTCCTGTAAACAAAAAACAAGACACATTTAACCTGACTAAGCAACAATGTGGCCAACAAAATATGTCTATTCACTCTAGCCTTGAATACAGACCTAAATTGTACGTTTCGGGAATCATAGATGCGGAATTATGTAGAAGACAACATGTCACAAGCAAAACATTATGAAATACTTCTCATTAATAAACTACAGAATCATACTACAATACATATGTATATGTATCTTGAGATATTTCTACGATCTCAAGAAAGAAACTACAGGTTGTATAGGGATGTAGGTCCAATGTGTAGATGAGATATGCTACATACCAACAGGTGCTCATATTTTCACATTGTTTCTGTTTTCTGGCCTTAGCTTGGTTCTCCTTTAAGACATATCTATCTATGCAACAATGGCCCTCATATAAATAGAAAAGCTTTAAAATACCATTGCATTGCAAAGCTTTTTGACTTGAATACATAATCAGTAGAAATTATTCAAAACCACCTGAGTAAACAGCAAGTACTTACAAGCTAACGACTGCGGCCCGGAGGCTCTCATTACTCAGGTCAATCTCCTTCAGCTCCGTGATTTGCGCCAGGCTACCTCCACATTTTAGCTTCAGTTCACCGACTTCACTCGCGTCTCCTGATTTATTATTTCGACACGAGCATAGTGAAGGACAAAGTCCCAAGACTTCCGGAGCCCAAGCAAACACCCATAAAACCAGCCAATAACGCCTCATTATATGCATTATCTCACACAAAACACCAATAAACCTAATGGCACTAAGCCAAATCGAAAAATTATCACATCTTTACAAATTCTTCACTTTCATCAATGACATATCCGTTTTACAATGCAAGTGAAATTAAATACGAATTGATAATGTTTGTGAGAGCTAAAAGCAGCACATTTTCCCTTGACACAGTTTTACAATTCGGTATATCGTATAAATAAACAATAATTGTAACACAGAGAACACCATCCGACATTTGTAAAAATTGACTGATTGATTTGATTGAACGAACAAGGAGAAGGAAATGATTGATTTTCTAAGGAATTAAAACCCTAACCGACCGACCGAGAAAGAATTTTATTTGTCTATGATCGCGTGATTCGTGGATAGGTGGATTGCTTCATAAAAAGTGACAGCTACTTTAGGCAACATTACGGAGAAAAATTCAAATGTTTATCCGTTGCCGTTTGTTTTGCTCCGTTTGCTTGCCAGTAGTGATCGTTTGCGAGTTTTTAATAAATAATTTTCATGAAAACTAACGTTTACATGTGTAAATAGTGTCACAAAATGAGTTTAGAATTACGATGTTCGGATCCCAATCAGACAAAGCGAGACATTCCCTCGTTTATAGAGCCTAGACCTCCGTTAATTTTAAATCCTTTCATGAGGCCTCGCCCTCAGAAAGGAACAAATTTGATGGAGCTGTTTGATGATTCCGAGAGTGAGGATGCGGATTGGGTGCATGTGTATTTGCGGCTAAAGCCTTGCAGTGTACGGAACAATCTGTACGAAGTGAAAAATGAGCGATGTCTCGTAACTTCAGTGGATACAGCTACAGCTGGCCATGGGCGTCGAACGCAGCACAATATTTCAAAAATGTACACGTTCTCTCATATATTTCGAGCCGAAAGTACACAGAAAGTGAGTAATATTCCTAAAAACAAATTTTATTTGTGTCTTACACCTTCCAGTTCACGTTATATCTACAAAACGATCCACTAATTGCTTAGGCTAAAAATCCTGCAAAGTACGCTACTGCTTCGATACTTACTGAATATTTTAGTAAATTTGTAACTCTACTAGTTACTTGTGAAATAATATATCACTGCAACTGTTATGAATAATAGCATTGATTACCACTAGTATAGCACAACTTGTTCGTCTCGTCCCTGGATTACATGAAAAACTTTATTACTTATATTAATTACTTTTTGTTACATCAAGTAATGAAATACTACGTTTTTATTTATTACAGGAAATCTTTGAACGTGTTGTCAAAGACAATTTAAAAAAACTACCAGAAGGACATAATTTCACACTCCTCACCTACGGAGCATCTGGGTCTGGCAAGACATATACCCTAATGGGTACGGTGTCTGAACCAGGTCTGGTACCACGGTCGTTGGAGTATGTCTTCAGGGTTGTTGATGCTGCTCAACTACCAGCCTTTAAACCGTCAGATGGAGGAGCTGAAAAACTGGGTTTACACCAACAGGACTATGAGTTTCAGGTAAAAAGTAGCCTTAAAGGACACTAGGTGCAAATACAATTTTTGAACACGTTTTGAATGATCCCTTAATAGAATAAGACGAACAAATTGCTTGTTTGTTGGTATAAGACTAATAGTATTGTAGTTAGAAAACATATTTATATAGATTAGTTATATGCTTGTTCAGACTATCTTACGCTATTTCAAAATTTGTCAGCTTGTACCAAGATGTTCCTGAATGTAAAAGAGGATTTAACATTGGCATGCCTGGTGATTGCCACAAATTTAGGGTATAACTGTCAAAAATTGAAATTCATTATCATCAGCCGTCTGCCAGCAGCCTTTCACAAATCGTCACTCCATCTGGCCATAGGGTGTCCTACACTATGTTTTCCGAGCTGAGATCTCCATTCAAGAACTCCCTTCCCCCAATGATTACCGGTTCTCAACAGAAGTGGCTAGCCTACTGTCACTTCAGCTTGCTTATTCTACCAGCGATGTCTACGACCTTTTTCTCTGTTGGATAACCTCGTTTCATATCTTGTTCTTCAGAGAAACTCCAAGCATAGCTCATTCCATAGCTTGCAGTACGACTTTTAGCTAATGGACTAACTGTGTTGTGAGTGTCCACATCCCAGCTCCATATATCATAATACATTACACGTATTGACTAAAAAACCTTTGAAAAGATTTAAATTATCATAATATTATTGGTACAACTGTAGCCCTGATACATATTTTTTAGAAATTTACCTTGAATGTCATGTAGAATGTCAATGTACACAAGCCCTATCTGAAAATGGTTTGAATTTTCTTGATTTACATTTTCTCAGATTTGAATTGGGGCAACTACCTTAAGGTTGAAACTGCATGAATCTATAATCATCGATGTGTACAGGCATATAGGCCTTATTCCACTCTTTTCTTCAAACTACCATGAGTAATGGTGCGATTAGCTGTAATATTTTGCACCATTAGATACAAGTCTTGTGCTACAAGACCTTATAGATACAGTATGTACTTTTTTTAAATATGCTTTTTATGAACTACGCCTTAACGTTGGACAACGGTTTTTGTATTTCCAGTTCGTAAAGAAACTCCGCCAGTTGTCAATACCAACACGTGATAAATATCGCCGCATGAGCGCTCAGCTGCGAAACGACATGACCAGCACGTGGGACCTGTCAAATCGAACGCGTTATTATGTTTGGGTAAGATTTCCAATGTTATAAACCCCTGAAAATAACAGACATAGTGTGTTATGATTTTGCAATATGAGAGCACGTGTGCTTTGTGGCAAAACTTTCTTAGCTAGTTCTGAACCGCGTGAACTTATTCAATAAGCGAGTGCGGTGTCATAGCACCATATAAATGTAGCCCACGATGCAACACTTCAATTGTTTATGGGACGGAGCTATGACAAAAACTTACAAAGAAATATGAGCTTATATTGCGTACCTTCAACTTTAACCGCGCAAGCGTAGCGTTTTTCCTCAACGATCAACAATGGTTAAAAATTTAAGAACGCACGAAGGCGCGCTCTGAATGCCTACATTATGCGCTTATACCGTAAGGAAAAAGCGGCGATAACAGCGTTACTTATTTGTTTATTTAGTTGTGTAGCACACCAAAAATATGTAATTCTCAAAAAGGGTTGCCATTGCACAGTGCAGGTAGTAAACCCGCCAGGGTCGACTCACGCTTTGTTTTTATGACAGACAACATAGAAATGTTACTTTAGAAATACTACACTGACCCGATCGCACCTGGGACCTCAGATATAACGACACCATGAAAATCAGTGTAACCAAACCACGCGACTACGGAGATCGTCATAAGACTATGTACCAAGTAAGTAGTTGTAGGCAAACCCAAAAGTCCAGCATGGTATCCATTTGGCTACGGAGGCAGTGGAATAAGGTGAAATGATTCTTATTAAGAAATGAATGAACGTACTTTTAACTTCCACAATGTACAAGAAAAAACTTACTTATATTGTAACTTAGCTACTGTACTTTTTCCCCCAATGTTAGGTTTTTCTATCCGAGCTGAACCTGCTTGCTACACACCACTACCCTAACTACTCCAGAAAGCAGCTCTGATGTATTCAAGATTGTCAAATGCGAAGATTCAGCACAATCGCAAACATATAAGGCAAAATTTTGTCATTAACACAATTGCTATTAAAGATAATTACTATTACAGAACTTCAGATTTTTAACCTGTATGAATAACATAAATAAAACATTTCTCGTTTTCATTGATTGTTATTGCTGCAGGTATCTTTCATAGAGATCTACAATGAAGCGATATATGACTTGCTGACGAACTGTGACCGCAGCAAGGCGACATCCAAATTGCGCATCCGGGAGGACTCTAGCGGGAATGCCTATGTGAAGGTAAAGACTTTAAAAACTATAATAATAATTTATTTAATAAAAAAAAATTACATTACAAGGTGCATAACAACAAAAAGCGGCAGTTGTACAAGATAAGAAATTTCATTTAAAAGTGATCCCTAACTCCTAAACTAGGATATCCTGTATCTGAGGAGTTAGTGATTCCTCCAACTTTGGGTATTAATTATTGTATGTACTGTACATACATAATTTACTTGCAAGTGTGCGTGCGCGCGCACCTGTGTGTGTTTGTGTGTGTGTGTGTGTGTGTGTGTGTATGTGTGCGTGCGTGCGTGCGTACATGCGTGCGCTTGCGTGTTTTCATATTATTGATACGAAGATCGAACAAACACAATGCAAAATTTGTTCGATCCGGCTGGTCTCTAACCAGCGACTTTTCGCCAAACCGGGGCTATTGCTCTCCCAACTGAGCAACGGAACGAATATTGTGTTATTTAAAACAGAAAATCTCTAGACGAACGGTGGATGGTGAATGCTAAATTTGTCGTTAAAATTGCTACATTACACATTATCTTCAATTCATTTCTTTATTGCATTTACCATAATTTTACACAGATGGAAAAGTCTTATTGCTATGTTATCAGGCCATTATGGACCCTGTAGGGCACTGCAAATTATATTTAGAGAGAGACAGGAGGATTTACTCTGTACAATAATAATTTGAAATTTAGGAATGTTGCGTTCTCTTATCTTGTAAAGATTAAATATTTAAAAAACTGAAACTTTTTTTGTAAATTGTGTAATCCCAAAGAATACGCGACAGGTGAAAGTTTTCCTAGCTCTAGACTTTCGCTAATTCTGATTTAACAACTTTTCCTTCAGGGGGCAACGCAAGCTTTTGTCCGGTCTGGCGAAGAGGCCTACGATGTGATGGTGGCAGGCAAACACAACCTGCAAGTAGCTGCGACCGGCGTACACGCAAACTCTTCTAGATCGCATTGCATCTTCACTATCACTATGTTGACCGAGACTGGTGAGAATGAAAAGAAATATTCAACACAAGCGCAGCTATTTTACACGATCTAACCTACACTGTGTTCGCGGAATAGCAAAGCAGTTTATTTAAATTTTTAACCGACTTGAAAAAAGAGCATTTTCTCAATTCGTGTGTATTTTTTTTATGTATGCTACGCGGTAACTCTGGCATTTGTGAACCGATTTTTGTTTCTTTTTTTTTAAAAAAAGGGTACCTCAGTATTGGTCCCATTTAAGGGTAAGCCCAGACGAGCGTAATGTTGTGAGTTGCGTTTTTTGAGTTGCGTAGTTTACGCTCGACCGGAATTCGGTTGGAGCGTCAGACGAACCTATTATATTCAGTTGCTTTTAAACGTTTATATGGAGTGTTTGTGTCGTAATAGTGTAATGGTTCCATTAAAAATAGTAGGATTTATGAAGCATTAGAAGACGATGTTAGAAAAAGAAAAAGAAGCTGTTGAAGAAAAAGGGCAGTTTCATATATTATATACAAGTTTATGTGAACATCAGACAATTGTATCATATAGTTGTATAAGAACAATTTATATCTTAATTTAAATCGCTTTACCAGACAAAAATTTTGCTAACCTTTAGCTCGAAATCGTATTAAAACGTAACCAAAATTATAATTTATTACATGATTACAACTATAATACTTGCTAAGTGCTAAATAAGCATTAGCGCTTAGCGTACTCAGGCGTGAAATTTAACATCAATAAACCTATCAGCTATTTAGCGTTTCGCACCAAATGTTAAATGCTACAAATAAAAGTTATAATTGTTTCTTTGTGCTCCCCGTTTTCACATACAATGTAGTTCCATCTATGAAATACTCGTATTAACGAAGATAACTCAGGACAAAGAAGGATTTTGTTTGCTAGCTGCGTAAGTAAAGTACGGATAGATTGATAGCAATCGACGCATTGAAATATTGTAAAATTATGTCGCTAGATGGCATTTGGTTTAATTTTCTTAACATACTCTAATCCAATTTATAATTTTAGCACCTTTATTTCTTTCAAATTATAATTGCTATAATAATTTTTTTAATTAAACGTTATAATTTGTGTCATGGATTATATTAACCATCCACTCACAACTCACAAAATTGTTCCACGACTCCAAATATCCCAATGAAATATTGACGGGCGCACCTGTGCCAGAGAGCGGCGTACGCGCAGCGTGCGTGCGCCTGTGCGACCTGGCGGGGTCGGAGCGCGCGCGGCAGACGCGCAACACGGGCGCGCGCATGCAGGAGTCGCGCGCCATCAACTCGTCGCTGCACGTGCTGGAGCGCTGCCTGCACATGCTGCGCCGCAAGCAGCGCCCGGGCGCCGACGCCACGCTCGTGCCCTACAGGTTTGTCTCAATAGTAGTTTACGTGACTTAATTAAAACAAACATCTCACGAGTATTTTAATGCCTAAGTGTGTACAGTTACATACACTGCTTTATCTACACACATTAGAAACTCTCTGTGATGTGTTCAGGAACCGCATGTTACGACTGGCGAAATGGCGGCGTATTAAAACTTTTCTCTCGCATGTCATTCAACCGTAGTTTTTATTTTTATTTCATAGGCAAACTAGAATCGGCCCCAACTCAT